CAGGTTTGGTAAGCCTTCCCTCAGGGTGGTTGACCTGTGGCCCTCCCTATCACAGAAACCTGTGGAGGCCGGGTCACTGAATATATGCAAGAAGTGGAATTAATAAATTTTTAGATATTGAAAGCTTCGAGGGATATGGAGAGATAGCAGGAATATGTTGTTGAGATTAAGGATCAGCCATGATCATGTTGAATAGTGCAACAGGCCCGAAGGGCTGAATGGCCTACTCCTGCTCTTATTCTCTATGTTTTCCTGTTTCTGTCATCAAATTCCTCTCGACTTTCTAAATTCCAGGGAATTTAGTGAAGGTGGTGAATAAGCTGATTATTGAGCGGGCTGCTTTGTCCTGGATGGTGTCAAGCTTCCTGAGTGTTGTTGGGGCTGCACTCATCCAGGCAAGTGGGGGGTGTTCCATCACACTCCTGACTTGTGCCTTGTAGATGATGGACAGGCTTTGAAGAGTCAGGAGGTGAGTTACACCCCTCAGAATTCCCAGCCTCTGACCTGCTCTTGTAGCCAAAGTCTTTAGGTGGCTGGTTCAGTTCACTTCCTGTTTAATGGTAACCCAGGACATTGATAGTAATTATTATTTACCACAGGCCAAGCCTGAATATTGTCTCAGGTCCTGTTGCAGACTGCATTCAGTCTATACCATGGATGTTTCAGCCTATTGGACAGTGGAGTATTTTAAAGTCTTCGCCATGTGTACACATTTTGAGACTTTCCATTGTGGCTGTTGAATTAAAAACGTAGGATTTGTACTTATATGGCCCCTTATTACTTCTATCAAAATATTCCAAATTACTGTCATACAATGGATAACAGTTTGAACTGCAGCCATTGTTACAAAATGTATATGTTTATGTGATCGGGGTAAACACGTCAGCTGGTCTTTCCTGTTCCCAGTACCAAACTCACTTGTAGCCACTTTCTGGTACTCCATCGAATTGGGGGATTAAATGGGGAGTCTGGGAGTGGGGTTGACTGAATAAAGGCCGTGTCATGGCTGTACAGCAGTTTGACTTCGCTCCAGTCTTCCAGATATACCAACACTGCAGAGGAGTCCCTCAGAATCTCTGAGATAACAAGGCATAGAGCTAGATGAACACAGCAGGCCAAGCAGCATCAGAGGAGCGGGAAGGCTGACGTTTC